GGGGATGTCCCTGCTCAGTGCAAGGGGATTGGACTAGATCAGCTTGAAACATCCCTTCTTACCCAAACCCATCTAAGATTCAATGATTCTATGACCCCACCAAAGCACCCTGGGGAGCCTGCCCCAAACGATGGAGCACACCAGACAGCCAGGGCAAGAAGCACTAAGGGAGGGGGACCATATTACAACCAGGGCATTTAGCAGGGAGAGGGGAAGCTGAGGCACACGTTGGTGCTGCACGGGGACTCTCACCTCCACCAAGCAGTCTCCCACCAGCCCCAGGAGCAGCCTGGCCCCGTTGTGCTCCCGCACCAGCGCCGCGTTCTCCGAGCGCGTCATGCAGGTGAAGTCGAACATGTCGACGTCGGGCAGCCCCCGGTGGTTGAGGGCAAACTCCAGCTCGGGCAGGCGGTAGCCGGTGGAGAAGTTGGCAGCTTCTTTGGCGTAGCTGAGGAGGGCGTCCCGGTTGACGTTCTCTGGGGACAAGAGGCTCTCGATGTCCGTTTTGTCCTGCGGGGATGGGGGGAAGCTGGCTGGGGTGTGGGAGGTGGTGGTTGTCCCCTTCAAGTCTGGGGTGAAGCCGTGCCACTAGCCTTGGGGATGTGAACCACCCCCCCCAGAAGGATTTTTCCCAGTGGCTGCCAAAGCCCTCACCATCCCAAGGGTGCATAGTCAAACCATCACTCATGATTTACATCCCACCCTTAAGGAGGCCATCGCTATGGGATGCCAGGGCCAGATCCTGCCCTCCTCACCTGGAGGATGACCCCCTTCTTGAGCAGGCTCTGCTTCTTGGCCGTCATGACAAAATAGTGGGTGTCATCCTTGTAGTAGACGATGTTTTCCAGATCAATGCCTGGTGGTGGGGAAGGGGCTGAGCTGAGCCATGGGGCAGAGCCAGGGCCATGGCATCAGGCTCAGCCACCAAATGTCCCCTGCATCGAGGCACCATGTGGGGACCTGCACCCCATCATCACACAGGGGACATCCCAGGGCTGAACCCCCAGTTGCACCAGGGGACAGGGACCTCTGTCACCCTCCCCTGGGCCAGGGCCGGGACCACCGACCTGTTTTGTTGTAGAGGTTTTGGAAGAACTTCTGGTTGTAGATCCTGGCCACGCCGCTGATCTCGGCCACCTCCACCTCGGCCCGGCTGTGGCGGTTGATGAAGTTGGTGGTGATGCCGATGGCCAACTTCCCCCGCGTCTCCTTCCGCTTGAACCCTGTGAGGTGGGAGAGGATTGAGACCCCCCGGCCCCCCCAGTACTGCTCCTCGGGGTGCAGGGACCCGCTCCTCTCACCTTTTGGCCACCGCCGGCTGAGATGAGGACGGCGAAGGCATAGTGGCTGAGGGGAGAGGAGCCAGGCTGCAGCACCGCTCGCCAGCCGCCTGCGGGGAGAGGGACCAGGGACGGTCACCGGGTCTCAACTGGGACCTGCTCCGGGAGGGGGGAGAGGGTCGTGTCTCATCCCCACCCCAGGCTACTAGAAGGGACTGGGAGAGGGAGCTCGGAGTGGTTACCCGCGGCACCGTCA